AGAACATGCTCTACGTATGAACAATTCCTAAAACGAGGTAAATTATTGACAAGCAAGTTAATGAAACAAGAATATCAGCAGTCTCATTAAAAATAATAATTTCGTACGTTCTATGGTTGATACAATGACCTTGTCAGCAAATACAATTTACCATTGAGTCAAAAACTGACTGACGTTTTTCACACCAATTGTTGTTCCATTATTTATATACCGAATTTTCCGTTATTTCAGGATCATGACAAATAGCACACGGCTGGTGTGACCGTTCAGCAGGGGATGCTCACTCCTCTCTGGCGCCTGATCCCACGGTTGATGTTTCGGAGGTCCGTGTTTGCTCAGTGTTTATTTTGTATTGTTTTATGAATTATGATATTGAATACTGTTCGTTATCTCTATATCCTCCTTAATCGAAAATTCATGGGATTCATTGGGGGTTTGGGTGGGTGTTGGCTTTTGAATAATACAGCTACTCTCAGCCATTAAGACTACTCTCGGAAGGGTTGAATAAAAATCCTATGAAAAAGATAAATGCTCTATTGAACTAAATGCACAGGAAAATCATGTCTGTTACTGCTGCACAAGGGAGATAATGAGAATTTTTTTTGGGAAGGGGAGGGGGGTGAACATATCAATTTCAATAACTGAAGGGATTATCCGTCAAAGTCACACACAATTCTGGTAAATTGTTGATCAAAGATGTATAAAAATGTATAACAATACTGGAAAACATATTCAATATATTGATTGATTGATTGATTGTATACTGTTAATCGTCCCTCTCCAGAATATTTCACTGATATGGAGACGTCACCATTGCCGGTGAAGGGCTGCAAATTTAGGCCTATGCTCGGAACTTACGGCCTTAATGCAGAGAAGGATCTTTATCGTGCCACACCTGCTGTGACATGGGGCCTCGGTTTATACGGTCCCATCCGAGGGACCGCCCCATTTAGCCTTTTACAATAAGCAAGGGGGTACTGAGAACCAATCCTAACCCGGATCCCCACGGGGCGACAACATTCGAAATAATAGTTTAATTTAACTCAAAAGTTTAATATGCGTTTCTGTTTCCTTTCAGTATATCTCAGCTGATTCTTAGCATGCTCTACATTATCGACGAGACACAACTTAACACCAAAGCGAACCCAAAGCGGAATCTGGGTTCGGTTCCCGGGTTCGCTCGGGGTGCGCTTTCAGAACTTTTGGGACCGCTTTTGGTGCGTTCCGGCTTCACTCCGCATTCGCTCGGGATCAGCTCTGAGTTCGCTAGATCAAATTCGGCATTTGCTTTATGGGACTGCGTTACGCACTGATGCGTGATGAGGACCCGATTTGATCTCGCCGCCCGTAGGCCCCGTCCCTTGTTAATTCTATTTAATTAATTATATTGTTGAATTGATAATTGTTGTTTTTGCGGCGATCGATAAATGTATACATTAGCATTATTGAGAACATTTATATTTTTTCCAAAATTCAACTGTACATTATTTTTGATTTCATTGACTTCTACTCTCTTGGAATTTCGATCCCGAGAAATTCCAAGTTATTTACAATAAAGCGCATTGAAGTAGTAAAATTTTTAGTAAAATTTTCCGTATGGATGAAACGTTCTGAGTCATGTTTTGAACGTCAATTATAACATAATGACACGTCCATACTTTAAGAAACGAGAAAGAAATATTCATGGTAATGTTTGAGGACACACCACTCTTCGCGACAAACAACATTACGTTACACTTAAATGGAGCTTTAAAAAAATAGAAGAAAGAATTAGAGACTCGCCGCTTCTGTAAAACTCAAATTGTAACGAATATGAACATATTTTTGAACTTATCATGTCTATTGAAGGAACCACAACACATGTTGCGGTCGAACACGCATTTATTCGGTGTTTATTTAGACCGTCAATTTGATATTTATATAGTTATAAAAAAAATCAAGGAAAAATCAAGACTAAAAATCATAAAAGTTAACTCTCTTCATTAGACTAGATTTAAATAATAAAGTCTGCTGATTTTTTGTTAAAGAACTATATGCGGTATATTGCATATATTTGCCCCCACAAAAGTCAAATTTTGAAAACTTCCTGAAATGTGCTGAATTCAATAAATTGTATGAGAAATATAAATTAACAGAAAATATTATAGTGTCAAAGCACTGTATTCACAATATTTGTTTTTATGAATTCACAAACTAGTCCGATTTTATATCCTTTATTCAGAAAGAGGACAAAATGGACAAAATTTCAACAATTTTAGCTTTGAAATTTATAGAGCGCAAGTTTGTTCAGGAACAATATTAACATATTTCATTGATATTATCATTCTACACATTATATCAAAATATTGATCCTGAACACACATGCGCTAGGTGATTTTTACTCAAAATATCGATGAAATATGTACATTTTTCTGTAAAATTCATTAAAAAAATGAAATTTACGTCATGTTTGTGACGTCACTACGTACATATGGCGTCATTACTTATGCAAATATTCAGTGCTTTGAAGTCAGAATATACCCCCCTGTTTAAGAACTAAATTAAATATCTCCATCAAAGTTTGATTTGGGTGGCAAATATTGGTTATTACCAAATAAAGTTTTTTCTATGAGTCGTCCACTCAATCTCGAACCCGAATTGTTTACTATAAGTCTGCAGCAGCTATTTTTTAAAATAATATTCAGGACTTTTAATGTTTTTATGCCACTGTGACACTAAGAGATCATTAATTTTGATAAGAGTTTTGAACAATTTAAAGGCTCATGTTAATTGAAATAATGGAAACAAATAATTGAATAATGGGTACGTACAAATTCATGTTCGGTTTTTATGAGATAATGAAATTTTACAATTTGTCAAAGACCCGTTATTTTTATTATCTCCTCTTTTTTCATTAAAAATTGTAATTATATTAATTATTATTTCCTTTTTAAGCATTGATTGATGTATTTACCCAAATTATATTTACCGATGGACTTTAAATAAATACTAAAAACATATGTAAGTAAATATTCATGTAACATTCTACGTTGAAAATTAAAATATATAATTTATTAAAAACTTTCATAAAAAATAAAGAAAATGAATATACATGTATTAATATAACATACAACCCGGAGTATTAGAATAAATGAATATAAAATATCTTAATTATCATTATAAATTTACACTGTACATTCATACACATTGCATCTATGTATAATGTTTGAATTTACTAGTATATCGAATAAAATCAACACGTTTATTTAATCTTTTATGGACGCCCTGATTGTTAAATCGCTAATTATGATTGACAGATCTGTTATAAAATACCGAACGCGCGTTCGATTTCTGGGACCGCTATTGAATTTGGGGTTCACTCTCTGTGTCCACTTTGGGTTTGCTCGGGGTCCACTACGGGTTCACTTGAGGTCCGCTCCGGGTTCGCTCCGGGTCAGCCCTAGCGGACCCCGACCGAACCCAGAGAGTGAACCTGGGGTGCGCTCCCTGTTCGCTTTCTGTTAGGTTGTGTCCGGTCGTTATTGTATGTAAGATCAACTTCTAAAACGAGGTAAACGAAACAGGAATTTCTGCAGTCTCGTTTAAGATAATCGTTTTGTAAGTTCTGTGGTCGATACAATGACCTTGTCAGCAAATAAAATTTATCATTGTGTCGAATTCTAACTGACATTTTTCATTCTTATTTCCAGTTAATTAATAATACACTGAATAGACGACGGTTTTTTTGCTATTTTCCGATCATGACAAGGAAAACACGGTGCGTGTGACCGGTCAGCAGGGGAAACACACTCCTTCTTGACACTGTGTTTATCCTCTGATGTTCTGTATGTCCGTGTTTGCTCACCTCCTATTTTGTATTGTTTTATGGACTTTGATCTTGAAAACTGTTCGTTATTTCAATAAGTTTCACTATCGCTATTTTGCATGAGAAATGTAAGAACAATCAAAAGCAGAATGACAAGTGCACATTGCACAGTAGTTAAAAAGATATACATGTACTGAGATATCATGCGTTAATATTTTTTCACTTAAAATTCTGTCCTTTGACCCTACATTTTAGACATTCTATTTGTTTCAACTCATTCCTGGTCACTATATACATGTGCAATGTAACAGACCAATTATGAATCAAACTGATTAACTAATACAGTGTAAAAATATATTTAAAACAGTGTTTTATTTTCCAAATTCTCTCCTCTTAACTACATAAAAGCCTTATGTCATTAGTTTTAGGTCATAATATCAAAAAGATATTATTCTGCATATGTTTAAAATATACTACCCAGTTAACGTTCTGACATCTCTCTCTCTCTCTCTCTCTCTCTCTCTCTCTCTCTCTCTCTCTCTCTCTCTCTCTCTTTCTCACACTCATTCTCTCTGAAAAAAGAAAATTCAGTGCACATCCATCCACCATAATATATGTAATAAATGAAAAAAATGAAAATTAAATATGTCCCTTTTCAGGATGCAAACTCATACTCGGGAAATGAATTTGATACGAATCCACCATCATTATTATACCCACTTGACCATTTCAGATACTATTTTTTCAAGGTTTTTTTTATGTGTATGACTATAGGCTCGTCAAATTCCAATCTGATCTAATTCGTGGTTTTAAAAAAGATATATAGATATTTCGCAAACTTTTTGACTACCCCTGGTACATGTATATATTATTACATCTGAACTTCCATCGAGATTTTCTACCATATGCAGGATAAGGACATTGAGATGAAAAAAAAAATATGCTCAAAGTACCCTTGATCACATTTTGTAGATATATTTGGATGCAACAAAAAAATGAGAAAAATATAGAAAATCGACAATATGTACGAAAACAAGAAGCAAATTTTAATTTTGGACAAACATTTACTTATTTGATTGATCTGGATGCTACACGACAGAATTTGGTGAATTTATACTTTTTTGTAATATGTAACATTGATTAATCGGAAAACTTATGGATAAAACTTTTTCTATCATCTATTCTATAGACTTCAGTGGGACTTACACTACGGGAAGAACTCAACAACAACATTATCGCGTGGCGTCTATAAAAAGAAAAAGATGCCTTAATGAAAAATGAAATGTTCAACAGTATGCTGGGAATAATTTCTATCTGTAATTACATGTATTGTTATGTAAAAAATTATATCTGTACCTTCATAAGTGCTGCTAAAATGCTACACTCCTATCACAGATTAAAGTTAATCAACACTTTCGGATGAAAACATACCAAAATGTTTGAATTTTGTACAAGATCAAAAACATTTCATCAAACCCCCTTGACCATTCGAATCGAACAACACCTATTTGATATAAACAAAAATTATGTATCAAAGTATGCATCGTAGTGTTGAACCTTTTGCCTTTTTCTGATATAAACGACAGAGGAAAGGCTGATCGGGAGGTAAAAAGCAATACTTGCTTTTATTGAACGAAGAAATCGTATCATTCTAAAAAGGGAATTTCGTTGTGCTTTCTTCATAAATATTTCTTCACTTTGGGCACTTATATTAGATTAAGAATAGTTATTAATTGTGCTTTATATATAAATATATCATATTAAAATTTTGTGATCAATATTTCCTTTTGATTTCCCTGTTGATTTTTGGCTCTAAAGTGAATATTTCCTGTTTCTATGGAAAGATATTTTGATATGTTTTAAAGTTTAAATTGAACTGTTGTACAACTAAATTAATTAACCGGAAGTTCAATTTTACACAAAAATTTATAGTCATTTTTGTCTAAAGCATTTTGAAGATATAATTACACAATGAATTTCTGTAGTAATGAATTTCTTAGAGGGATTTTGATAATTACAACAGCGCCTTTAGTTCTATCAGATTTGAAATGCACAGGGTATGTAATTTTTCTTTTACAAAATGTACATCGTTTGAACTTTAACTTAATATATCTAAAATGTACCAAATTGCAATGCATAGGAATTTAGCTTGATTTATTTTAATTTAAGTTGATTAATTCCCTTTATGTTACAGATTCAAAAAATGTTGCTCAGGATATTTTTGGAATGAAACTCTAAACGAATGCACGCGTAAGAGAAATTTTAAACATTTAAGGTTTGATTGAATTTATATTGTTTATGACAGTGCCTAATATCATATTTAATAAAATGCATCTATGTCTTTATTTGTTTAAAACTTAGGTTGTCAGGTAGGCTATTATGCAAAGAATTGCAGATTACGGTGCCCATACCCCAGTTTCGGAGAGGAATGTCAGAATGAGTGCAAATGCAGAGAGGACTTGTGTGATTTTGCTTTTGGATGTGTATTACTCCAAGGTATGTGTAGTTTATTACTGTTGTTTATTATTACGAAAATTATTTGAGCTTTTTCTTATCAGTTTGTTTTTCATTTTATGGTGACAAAAATGATCTGTCATATTGACCTCATTTATTGCACAAAATTGATTTATTATTAACAGGTATTGCTTCATCCCAAGCTTCCATAATATTACGGAATACTTCAGCCGATAATTCAACTCTGATACCGTTTTTGGAAGAGACTAGTAGTACCTTATATAAATGGTTATTTATAGCAACTCTTGTGCTTTGCATTTTCCTTGGAATGTGTGTTTTTATTTTAGTTCTGAATCATTACTGCAAGAAACCCGTTCATCATGGAGTATATCAAGACATTTTCATAGACAGAACTAATGAGATGCAGAATGTTTACGAATCTTGTAATTAGGATGGAAGTTGTATCCCAGAATTTGTGGAAAATACACAAATCGGTTTAAAGAATTTTCTGATATTCCATTTTTCTTTTTAAATCCGAAAAGTTTCTTGGATGTGTCTTTAACTCACCGTTAACAAAGTGGTTAGTAAAATCTGCAACCTGTCACCTATAAAAACAGGAAATATTGCGATTATTTGAAGTTCTTGTAGCAGTATTACATGAGCTTAAAATCCTTATACTTCACATTGCCCTTACTCCTCTTAAAGCCCCCACCCCTTTATCATAATGACTTTTGTGAGCATTCATGTAAGAAATGGTCACTGTCTGTCGCTGATGTAAAACATTTTACAATGTGTTCCTCCTCTGCAAAACCACTGGATCAGTTCAATCAAACTTCGAACAAAGTATACTTCGGTAAAGGAATGTCAGGATTTTCAAGTACTAAACCCTATTTCAATTGTAGATAATTAAGAAAAAGAAAAAAAAAAGACTGGTTGACGACTTTTCAAGAACCATTTGGACAGAAAATATGAAAGAGATGTGAAAGTTTCCTGACACAATGTACATTCAAGTTTCATCAAATCATGACCCCCGGAGTCACATTGTGTAATAAAGATTTTTTTTTTTGCAGAAACACCTAATTATAAAAACATTACTACAGTGTACTATTAAAATTTTCAATTTATATGGAAGCATACTTAAGCAGTGTGGATTCAAATTTATTCAAATTTTTACTCTTCGGCAATGATGGGTCCTCAATTATAGTCTATATTCAAGTGAAAATAAAACCTACTTCTGCCTTCCCCGGACAGGGGGAAAACAATAACACGTATACTTATAGGAAAAAGAAACGCAAAAAATCATAACTATATGTGAAAAGTTTTTGACTATGTGGCCAAAAATTATGAAAATTGATCAGATGTGTATTTTTGTTACTTTGCACTTAAATCGCTGGTCAGAACTACTCAACCATGAATTTATGGCGGCATGTAGGCGAAGTGATTTAAAATGAAATACACGTGCATGTTGATGATGATAATTTTGTGATCCCATTTGTAGTGCCATACGATGTATTAGAGTCATAGACATTGTTTTTGCTTATTTGCAGTCGATTTCCTGAAATCGTGGTATGGCTGACGGAATTTACATTGGGTCTAGTAATTGAATTCAATATTGCATAAGTGAACAAAAAGGCAACAACATATTGACATGCAGATTGTTTCCACTTTTCAAACAAAATAAAGTTTTTTTTCGGTTGTCAGAGAATTAACTTAAGAGGTTTCAAACCAACCATTACTTTAAACGTCATATCAAGAAAGTGCTTTTCGTCATGCCACCTCGGTCAGGGTCAAGTCATTATCACTGAAACCGATATACAGCAGAAAATCATTCTCATTTTTAGCATCCTAAAATGACAGAAACTCTCTGCTCTAATTTCGTCCTCGAGCTTGGCATCTTTACGTCGATTTTACTCTCACTCGCGCTTGTACACGTCGTATGCGTAATGTTTTGAGCATGTTTAGACTGGGAAAATGTAGTTAGTATTTAACAAGACTTTTTAAAAAACATTCACATGTACCAAACAAGATGGATTCTCTGAATCCCATCTTAAATCGAAAATTCGTTTGAAACATTGGGCGGGGTGGGGTTCTTTTCAATACTAAACTGATTTCTGCTTTTCCTCTATCCAATGGTCTCGGGTAAGCTATGAGGACTATGCACCTTTTATTTTTAAATGAGAAACAGTAGATTTTTTTTAAAACAATTTTTGCTTCAGAAATTGATTTAACTACTGTAAATCACTTTTTATTCGGAAGAACTTTATATTCGCGTAATGTAATCTCGAAAATTTAATTCTCGCATATAATAGTATTCCTTAGGATTACATTTGTATATAGATCAATAACCACAATTCGCGAAATTTATCTCGCTTATCAAGAGTCAATGACTATCTCGCGAAAATAAGGTGTCGCAAAAATTTTTTGATCTACAGAACATATTTAGGATTTGTTCACAAAAAAGAAAGTACATTGTAAAATTATACATTTTAAAAAATGATAACTAAGTACACCTAAGGTACGTGAAATTTTTAATTGCTTAGGTATATGATCCCAGAAGAATAAATATAACCCTAACAAAAGACTTTCCGGTTCAGTCTAGAGAAGTGTTTTTTTTTAATATGTAAATAACAAATAGTCATAAAAACGAAACTAAAAATAGGAAATTCCATTTTAAATATTTTGTTCTGAGAATGTATATACATTAAATAGAATAATCACAATAAAAAAGGTAAGTGGTTTATATGTTTCAAAAATTGGGTATGTACTGGACTTATATTTATCTTCACAATTCATCGCAAAAATGTTATTATATTAATCTTCTTTTCAGACATTCGTCTCGTACCTTTACCTTTAGTGTTCTCTTGATAACACTTGACAACACTTCACACAATAACCATTCTTTCGTGAACGGCATGAGATCGTCGCGTGTCATAATTCAAATTCCTGTCATTGGACATTCAAACGAATTGAAAGGACACTCTAGCTAAAAAAAAAATGAAATTTAAGCTAAAGAATTGCGAATATTTAAATTGTTGTGTCAGCCATATCAAATATATGACAAGAAAACAAAACAGTGAACGCATTCCAAAATCAAAACAGAAAATCTTTTTTCCTGTTTCAGGTATTTAACAAGAGCAAAGTATTACAGAATTTTATAGGATATTTATTAGAGAGATGGTGAAATTCGGCATGTTTCTAGCATAAAGACGACCTTGCGCTAAAACCAAACGGATTTGAAAACATTTAGAGGGAATATTGACAATCTATAATTACATAAAACGATAGGAAGGTTTAACAGGGTAAATTCCCCCTCAAAGACATTAACTGTTACATTAATTATGACTAAAAACATCTTTATGATAAATGTAATAAAAAAAACCTAGAGGGTAAACTTTCTCTCAAAATGTCATTGATACAGTTTATGCACAATAATTCAAAGCTCGGCATCAACACTGATGTTAACGAGTTTGTACGGGGTTAGATTTCCCGAAAAAAATATTACAATGCAATACAATATTTAATTAATAAATTGCAACATCTTAAGAACCTACAGAATAAATTCCTCTCAGAAATAGCATTGAATCAGTTAGTATATACTCAAAAACAACTATCTTGATGATAACAAGACTTTACGGGGTTTATTTCCCTGCAAAGAAAAATATGAAACAATATTCACCACTCTTCGAAAAAGAGAATATTACAATTTGAAAATAGCCGAATTCTTCAGAGTTAATTTTCACTCAAAATGACAATAAAGTAAAAGCAACTATCCTAATATTGCAAGTACTTATTGGGGTAGCCCCCCCCCCCCCAAAAAAAAAGAAAAACATCACTATTACAGGTACAGTACTCCTGGTTTTTAAAATACATAAAAGATAGCAAAAATCCACAGAGTCAATATCTCTCCAAAATGATACTGGCATAGCTCAAAAAGTATTTCAAAGCAAAGATACCCCTCTTCAAAAAGCAAGCTTTTACGGGGTAAATTTCCCCCAAAATTTCACTGGTACAGAATTTATGATATGAAACATATAAAAGATAGCAAAAATCTACAGGGTAAATTTCCTCTAAAAATTTAATCGATACAGATTATACACAGTAATTCAAAGTTTAAAATTGATGCAATTGAGACATTACAGGGTAAATTTCTCACCAAAGAAAACTATTGAGACAGTATTAAAAACTTGCAACATCTCAAGAACCTGCAGAATAAATTTCCTCTCAAAGTTAACATTGATAATTTCATGCACAGTAATTCAAAGCTAAGCAAACATTTTTATAGAAGCGGGATTTAACAGGATTTATTATTTTTCTTTATTGTTCCAACTATCTGATTGGCTCAAACTGGGTCACATGATCAATTATAAAAAGTGTTACAGACTGGATGTTTCTATTTTAAAAATTTATAAACCTGCTGTTTCTAATATTGGAAACGTTATTCTGTGAAGCAACAATAGCGCTGACGTCACAATAGTCTTTATAGACTGGATGTTTCTAAAAACAGATACTGCGGCTGGTTTTCATTACTGTGACGTCATAATGCAATGACATAACAATGCCTTGTATGAAAAGGTACTGAGTATTATAAAGAAGGATTTTAAGACATTTCTTATTAACTATTAAAAAATAATAAAACAATTGTAGCCTTTTGATTCGGTACAATCCCTCGATATATAGACCTTAGAGAAAGCATATCGACCTCGCACTTCGTGCTCGGTCGATATGCTTTCTCTAAGGTCTATATATCGAGGGACTGACCTCATCAAAAGGCTATAATTGTATAATATTTTTCCTCAAGAAAATCAATACTACAGTATTAATGACTAGAAACATTTTAAGATATCATAAATATACAGAGTAAATTTTCTCTCAAAAATTACGTTCATACAGTATGTACACAATACACAGTAATTCAAAACAAAAGCAACTACGCTGATTAAAGTAGGACTTTATGCGGTAAATTTCCCCAAAAGAAATCAAAACAACAGTATACACCCTTTCTTAGGAAATGCAAACATAACAGTGTGAAAATAGCATAACTGTAAAGAATTATTTTTCTCATAAAACATCAAAATGAAGCACTTGCAGGTGCTACCATCTTACAAAGGTAGACATTACGGGATACATTTCCCACCAAACCAAATAAAATCTCTGACACAGGTACATTATCCATGGTTCAAAAACACTTTGAAGATAACAGTACAATCTCCTCTCTAAAAATTATACCGGAAATTTTTATAAAGAATTTCTATGCACAGACACCAAGTTTAAGAAAGCAAGACTTTACGGGGTAAATTTCCCCCAAATAATATGTCTGATTGAGAATTTATGCTTTAATAAATATGCTCTCAAACCATTTGACTGATATAGTTCATATTATATGTAGAAACCAGAAACGTTACATGTTTAAAAAAGAGTATCATTGGTACAGTTATTATTTACGGTAAAACCAACAAACATTACA